ATATATATATATATATATATATATGGGGAGTTCTACGGTACCCCGGGTGAAATCTCGGGTACCGCATACCTTGAGTAAGAAAATGCTATTCAGAACTTGAATTGACTGATCTTTCGAACATGATACTATACTCTAACCCTTAAAGATCAAAATCTAGGTCTTAATTCTCTAAATCTTATACCCCAATATCAATTTAATTAGAAACAATAATCAACGGTTATGATTCGTCCAAATATAGGCAAAAAAATCAATGCACCATCTTAGGGTTTATAGTTTATGATTTAGATAATTAGGACTTAGGGTTCACTTATTAAGGGTTAGGGTATAGTATCATGCCCAAAAATCCTGTTAATTCGAGGTATAGATAGCGTTTTCGTACTTAAGGTATGTGGTACCCCGGATTTCACCTGGGGTACCGTAGAAGGCACCATATATATATATATATATGGTGATGACTGGTGTACGTCAGGCGTATAATATACGTCAGGTAATCTAGCCATTAGATGTGGTTAGATGAGCTCCGGCCGATCTCAACGGTCAATTTTTGTTTTTCATTAAATCAAACTTCGGGTTAGGGTTTAGAAAATCGGTGACTGGGGTTTATCCATTAGAGGTTAGGGTATAGTATCATACCCCAAACTCGATTTAATTCATGGTCTAGATAGAGATATCTCACTAGTAGTACCTGACGTATAGTATACGTCTGACGTACGCCAGTCTGACCCATATATATATATATGTTCTTTGTGGTTCAGTTTTAATAGACAAGAAGAAAAATAAAACCATTTTATCGATATGTTTATATAGGAGTATGAGTAATTTACCTAAAGATTCTGGATGCATGATTCGTCAATAAATCAATTGGTATCAGAGTCTGGTTCGATTGAACTGAGCTCGACCGAGCTCAACCAAGCTTCTAGGGCCAACATCGCTGGACGACGCAAGAAGTTCGACCAAACATACCCTGTTGTCGACATCATTGATGAAGGCCGTGTCGGAAGCTGCCAACCGACGCAAGAAGTTACCGACGAGTTGCCTGACATTGAGATCTCACTCTACGCCTTAACAAGAGTCTCCCATCCTGGCACACTACGGTTCTCAGCTCAGCTCATGGAGGAGAATGTCGTCGCCCTTGTTGACGTCTGGTCTTCCTAAAATTTTGTGAGTATCAGGGCCGTCAAAGGCATGTCCTTGATAGCCACGTTGATTCCTCCGTTTCGAGTCAAGGTCACCAATGGAGAGTTACTTGACTGTAGGCGCTGCTACAAAGCCGTAGACCTCACCATTTAAGGAGATACCCAAAATGTGGATCTGTATGAGTTGTTGATCAAGGGGCCCGACGTGGTGTTGGGCGTTCAATGGCTAAAACAACTTGGACCGGTGTATTTCGATTGGGAACGACGTGGTGTTGGGCGTACAAAGCCAAGACGATGGGTTGACTTGCAAGGTTTGGCCGAGAAAGCAAAGGAGATCAAGGTCACGGAATTGTTCGAGGAGCCGACTGGCCTGGTCGCTGTCACGCTTGTCACGCAACCACTGTCGCCAGCTCAAGAAGTCGCCTTCAATGACTCGATTGAGATCTCTCGGGAAGCTTTGGCAGTCTTCTCAGCATCCAGGGCACCTATTGACGGGTATGAGTTTGGTTCTCCTCAACAATCCACCTATTTCGATTTTTCAATTCATCATAATCTCGCGGACGAGATTCTTTAAAGGGGGGGGGGGGGTGGAGTATGGAAGGAAAGACAAGAGGATAAACAAGGGTTGCGCCAGGAATTGGAAGTTTAGTAAGCGGGCAAACGAAGAATCAAGCTACTCTGTTACGAAGATGCTCTGTCGCAACTGGAAGTACAGGAAGCGCAAGCTATATTAAGTCATCACCATCGTCTGTCATTTCTTTCACATCTGCTATTTGTTTTCCAACCTCGGAGATGAGGTTGCTTTAAGGGGGTGGATTGATGGGTGCTAGAATATTGATATTAATTATTATTATTATTATTGTTATGGGGAAGTCAGCTACTATTATCCGAATTAGGAGGGGATTATTATAGTTATGGGGTGCTTTGGGTTGATAATTATAGTAAAGTCTTTCTCGAGTAAAGGTCAAGTAAGGGGTTGGCCGAATGGGTTAGGATTCATTTTAGAGTTTTTGCGTGTTTTCCTATATATATATGTACTTAGTGGTTCAGTTTTAATAGACAAGAAAAATAAAACCAGTTTATCATTATGTATACCTAGGAGTAGGAGTAATTTACCTAAAGATTCACGAGGCTTGATTCGTCAATGCATCAGGATATTTTAGCAGTAATTGGAGGTTATTTGCAGAGCAAGTCTTGTGGCCCAAAGGAATGGTATGGTTGGAAATTTTGGGACGAGGGTACACGTACGATAGTCTAAGACCGGGTGACCATGATTTTGATAGAGTCGTGAACAACGATCACTTTTCCTATATAATATTTCCACTCTCTACAAAGTCTGGGTTACAGGATATTCTTTGTAGGATAAAACTATCACCACTTTAGGTTCCAAGTTTGAAAAGCTAAAGCATACCTAGAAGTTACATAGAAGAATGAATTTTGGTGTGTACCTCCCACCAGCCAGTCCCATCTATTTATAGATTCCAACCTTATTTTCTCCATATCCAAAATGATGTAACGTTTCAAGATTGACTGACAGTTAGAATTGGAGAGGGGCATCCAATTACCCAAGGAACGTATATATTCGTTCATTTCAAAGCTAAGGCAAAACTGCCACCATGTAATGGACGTATATGTTTCTCCATTTCAAATTCATGGTAGATTTTGTCCATTAACTTTAAAATTAACAACATGTTGCTTTATGGCTAAGTGATATGCTACTAATTATGAACTAATGAATCATTGCTTTCGTGGCTAACCGCCATGCAACGTGTGGTAACAGGTGTTCCAACCGATATGATTAATTAATTCTTACCAAACCTAGTTGCACCAAATTCCAACATTCCTCCCATTTTAGTGTATTTAAAAATTCACTAAAATTAAAACATTCTTCCAACAAAAACATAAATGAAAATGTCGTGACGATTGAATTTTCATCTTAGTATATTACCCTTGGCGAATATCCGAATATATGGGTGTCAATGACGATTGAACCCAGCTGCTCAAATAGATATTTGAAGAAAAAATACACTCAAAGTTTTCAAAGTTTCTAAGTGACCTTGACACTATTATCCGCCATGTGTTCAATCCTTCTCATAAGCGCACTCGAAACCAAAGTCCGGGTTTCTTGAAGCACCTACACTTCATGCTTACGTAGGCTGAATGTTTTATTCGTGTACCCACATAATACACTTTGTCAAAGATTCAATTAATAAGTTTTAAACTCCATCCTCTTATCTCATGCAGGATAACAAGCACATTCCTCAGGATGAAAAATTTTGTGCTTCGATTTCTAACAATGAGCTTTCCACATTGAATTCAGCCTCTAACGTTGCATTAGAGGGGAATTGGGTATCACATTATCAGAAATTATATGGACTTTAAATCCATCCCTTTCACATACTTGATCATCAAGTCACTCGTTAACCATTTTGTTAAATGATCAACTAAATTATCTCAAGTCCGGTCACATTACATAGACACAACTCCATGAGTGATTAATTCACAGATCTTACAGTGCCTAACTCCCACATGACCATACTTATCATTTTCACTTGGCTATATGTCTTAGTCAAATTAGCATTACTATCACTAAGAATAGTAATAGGTGAGATTGGTTTTGGCCACTCAACAATAATGCCTCTTTTCTAAGAGAAATCAAGGTCACAACTTTGACCCATAGTGGAACTAGTAATGCAAGTTTGCTTTCCAGAGGCCCAAAATATGGCACCTCCCCCAGGCAAAAGGACTCATCTCGATGTTGAAGTATCACCTTTAACATGAGAAATCCAACTAACATCAACAAATCCTTCCAAAATGGATGGAAAGCAACTATAAGTCATACAATATGCCTTTGAGATATCTTAGTACGCGCCTCATTTCATTTCAAATGATGAGTATTAGGATTCATCATGTACCGACTTAATTGTTCTATCGCATATGCGATATCTAGCATCATGCAAGTCATGCATACATTGAGCCCCCAATTTAACATGGAATACTCCGGTTGTAAAACTAATTTCCGGTATTAACCATAATTTCCATACTTGTATCCATTGGGATCTTTAAATCACGACAATTCCTACTATGAAATTTTCGCAAGTACCTTCTCAATGCAAAAAAGTTGAAAGAATGAATCTTCTTTGTTGTTCCGTCTGATTCAATACACAAAATCACATTTTTCTCCCCCATATCCTGCATGGAGAAATGGAGAGGGGCATCCAATTACCCAAGGGACGTATAAATTCGTTCATTTCAAAGCTAATGCAAAACTGCCACCATGTAATGGTCGTATATGTTTCTCCATTTCAAGTTTTTGTCCATTAACTTTAAAATTAACAACACGTTGCTCTCATGGCTAAGTGAAATGCTATTAATTTGAACTAATGAATCATTGCTTTCATGGCTAACTGCCATGCCAAAGCTTTGCCATGCAACGTGTGATAACAGGTGTTCCAACCAGTCTGATTAATTAATTCTTACCAAACCCAGTTGCACCAAATTCCAACATGTTGGAGCGTTGTGCTTCATGCTGTGTGTCAGAGTGTACGGTTGGAAAGAAACAGAAGGATTTCTGAACGATTCCGCCATAGACCGTAAGTTTAGAATTGGGAGAATGATTGCAAGTTGGATAAGTGTTGCAGGGAAACTTGAAAGGCCAGTGACAGAAAAATGGGTTGCGTTTGTACAGAGGAGTTTGGTATCAATATAGCTATGTGATTGGCTGCAGCAGTTTGGGAGAAGGTATCAGAGACTTGTTTCTTTGCCTCAACCCTAAGACGTATATGACAATAATAGATAGATATGCTATTGCCATTTTCATACGAGAAAGTGGAACAAGATCATGTTGGCTTACACTGTTTTTGTTGCTGTCATACTGTTATAATTATGTTGTTGTTGCTGTGACGTTTAAGGGTTGTTCACACATGATACATAAATCAATTACAAGCATTCAAAGCCCTTCTACTATATATATCTTTCCTACTTACTCATACAAAACCTTAACACAATGTTACTCACCATAGCATTATAATCAACTGATCTAAGAGCTCGTTCTAGTGACTGATCATGTTCATACCATTGTACAGAAAACATTCCATAACTTCTCCATCCATATATAACCTGGCTGAAAAACGCATGTAGATGTTATTAATCAATACCCCATAGAAAATTGGCGCTCGTATCTTTTCTTCAAGAACTTGCCCACATCAGAAAAGCTCCTGAAGTCGTTGCCGTTATTATGGTAACCATTCTTCTCACCGTAGTCCTTGTTCTTCTTGGGAGAAGTGGTCATCATCTTGTCGCAAAACCTGCCAACAAGCCCCTGTTGATCGGACGGCTTACGATCTTCGACCTCATCATCAGCAACGTCCAAAAGAGAGCCCTTTTCCTGAACTGGATAGCCGCATTCCCAGCGGTGGGTCCGCAATCGCAGAGTCTTCACCGGTTGATGATCATTATGATTAGTATCATCACTGTTGTTATGATCGTTATGAAGTGTGGGTGATTCAGCTGCTGCGGGGTCGTTCAGCTGGTCTAGATCCTCGGCGAGGGCAAGGTTCTCGATGCGGCAGATGTCCTCGAACGTGGAGCCCGCGGAGGCGAAGGAGGAATTGGAGACGGCGGAGGACGGGGTGGCCGTGGCAGCAGGAGACGTCGGAGAGGAGGAGGCGGCGGCGGAAGAAGGAGTGGAGCTGCCAAACCCTTGGATTTCCTTAGAGATCTTCAGGGCTTTGAGGCGAGCTGCTCTCAGGGCAGTCCCGCCCCCGCGGAGCAGGCTGAGGATGCTTTCGGATCTCTTGTGCATGTTCGATCCCCAGTCGAATCTGTACGTGTGTGATGACATTCATAGCTTAAGTACGTATCATTCATCAACTTTTGAAAAGCGACATGCAGATGAATTTAACTTACCCTTTGTCGTCAATGAATTGGAATGTGCCGAGCTCTTCGATGATGTCGATATCGTTCTGGAATTCGTAGGCGAGTTCCTCGGGGCCATGGGTCATTAAGAACTCCAGAAGTACCAGTGTCTTGTATGATTGCCTCCACTGCTTCCAGTCTACCGTATCCAGCCTGAATCCACGTAAACATACATACGTACATGCATGTTGGTTCCCGGTTGGTTATATATTCGAATTCGACCCCCTCGCATATTTAAGATCACGTATTGTACGTACCGTTTGTGAAGAATGTCGATGATTCTCCAATAAGCATCGACACCAAATGAAGCGACGGCGATTTGTGTCATAGTTTTAGCATCAGGACCCCATGGTTCGTTGTTTGTTGCTTCCTCAGTCAGCCTGACCGACGACGGACATCATAATTATGATTATATCACTTTAAAAAACAGAAAGAAAAGTATATAATTGTGATCATTAATGCAGAATTGCAGATGCAGGACTCACAATTCGATTGGGGTGATGTCGGTGAGAGCCAGCCTTGCAGTTTTGTACTTCTCTTGAAGGAAAGAACATGCTTGCTTCTTCATCTGGTTTAAGAACAGGCTTCCCATCTCCTCGATCTCGAGCCTAATTCTTGTTTTTGGTAGCATCAAAGGTTTACTCGAGAGGCATCAATTGTCTGAATGATAATTTAATAGGAACAAAGATCGGAGAGAGGACTATCGGCAATGGTGGCAGCCCTGCATTCTCGCTTGATGGTATGTACGGAAATCCTTTGGTTCAGAAATAGGCTAAACCCACCCAAGAAAAAAACATGGACGAACAACGGACCAAGCCTCCTAACGAAACAATCATATTACTAATTAAAACTGTCCCCTAGAATTATGGAAGGAAGAAGAATGCAACTAACTAGAAGCAATCTGGATCTGGTGCTGCAGCAGTTTCATACAGTGATCTCAGTTTCAGATTTCACCACCGTCTTCCTCAAATCCATTATTTCAAGTTGCTGCGACCATAGACCTACACTGAAAATCCAAACCAGTGCCTATTTGAAAGAGAGCTTCAAGGCATCTCAATAATTTTAGGCTTCTTCTTTGGCATCCTTCTGTTAACAACTCCAGTTGAACCAGCTCTGCTGAACTTCGATGCGGCATTAGATGAAGTGTATTTCCTGATATTGTCAGTTTCCAATCTACCCCCGCCATCACCGCCCTTCCTACACTTCCAACACCATTATCGTCACCTGAATCTTACAAGTCCGACTCACTCCTACTATCATCCAATGTTATCAACTGTTGGCAACAACTAAGGCAGATTCAGCAGCAGCACAACTTGCTAATTCTGGAGTTCTGTTAGACCTCCATTAAATCCTAAAAAAGAGAAGCCAAAATGATTTCATCAGATGGAAGCTGCATGGTTAAAAGGTGGACAAGACACATATCACACAACCAGTTCTATGACTTCAGATTCTTTTCATATCAGAGCTTAAATACCGTAAATCTTAGAATTATCGTAAATATATAACCACGAAAGAGAAACAGATTAGACAGTCTATTTGTAACTTCCAAGAGGTAATCCCCAACAGAAAGGGAATAAACCTTGCATCTAGCTGTAGCTGCCAGTGAAGTAAACCCAGCACCAATATCCCACCAAGTTGCTTTAGATATCAGCAGAACGCAGCCCGGTTCATCTTCATTCTTCAAACTGCTAACTTCATTTCTTCAAGTTCAGGCACTGCAATATCTTCCCTCATCAAACTAGCGTGATCCCCACTCACTCTTGCACCAGCCTGAGCGAAAAGTTCCACCACAGCGGGCAACATGCCATAGTACCTCCGCAGATCATTTACCAGTGGCTCGCGACTATTGAGATCACGAACGTGCCATACATAGACTGGGGGAGCCAGATCATCAACAGTTGCCTCTTGCCATGCATGCTGACCATCCCTCATCTGGTGCTTGAAAGCTTGGCAGTTTCTTACTCTATGGCCCTTGGGACCAACTTGAACTTCAGGGCAATATCCACACGTATGAACTGCATACTTACTCAATAGTTTCTGGATCCCTGACCTCATTACCTCCCATGATTCCATTCCTCGAATCGCAACCTCTGCAGAGGGAAGCAGTAAATGAATGTCATATGGGATGCTAGAGACATATCGATAAAGCACTTTTGCTTAACCTATCTGAGACATAACATACACCCATGTCCCGATCCAGGAGAGTCATGGACAGTTGGAAATATCAAAGGATAAAGAAATAAAAAAGTAAGAACTAGGAAGGAAAACCTCGTAAATTGACAAAATTAGCGTCTGCAGACTCGGTCCCCTCAACTGGGTTTTTCTTCTTCTCCCAAAATCCACTAGTATTGATGTCTTTTCCTGGTGTGTCTTCTTCTTTGGGGAACCTGCGCTCGAAATCTATTATTCTACCAGCAACACTATACGCAGGGAAGGTCCTTCTTCTTGTTGGGTACTCTGGTATGTTGACACCACCTTGGATACACAGTTCCACAACTGCCGGAATCCGATCAACTATGAGCTGCTCGTTATGGGACACAGCTCTTCCAAGTCTGTCATACAGATGGAAAGATTCGACCAGGGGCAAAATATGGTCAATACCTCCCTTCATCCATCTGTGTTCCTTGTTATTCAGGCTGCCCACTCCATCGCAAGTCCTAATTTTGTGAGGAGTATGGCCTACATGAGCTTCTCCACAAACACTGCATCAACGAAGTAGGTATCAAACACAAAGAAAACTCTCAAGGTAAATCCACACATTATACATCAATAAACCACCATACCTGCATGAGTATAAAGCTATGGTCTTAGCAACCTTTGAGACGCAACCCAACAATTCAGCTCTGGCAGCATACACTTGATGAGCAACAGGGATCAGTTCTTTAACCAACAGCCCATTCTCAGGCGGTCGCAAAATTTGTTCGCGCGCCGACTGTTTCTCTTCCCTCTCTAGCCTCGCTTTCCGCTTGAGCTCATTCACACTCGTAACCCAAGGCTTCCTTTCACATCTTTTTAGCTTCCTGGGAAGCTCTGTTCCAGTCGACACAGAAGAGTGTCTGATAAAAGTCGGCCAGTAGTTACTTCTCGAAACAAGCCTCGCACTGTACGAAATTGTTCTGAAATTCGGCGGCGTCATCTTTCAAAGTCCTCAGATACCCGCGGGGATGGGGATCAGTCTCTCAGCTAGACATTTTCACAAACAGCCTCCGTGCAATTGAAAGAAGGAAGCTTAATGTTGGACCTTCACCACGGCAAGAGAACAATACAACACAGAGTCGTGAATTCGGTCTAGTTCGGTCGTGGAAGACAATAAACCGCCGGTCTATGCAGGTAAAATATGAATCAAGACAGACACAGAGATTCTAGGGTTGGTAAAGTAGAAGCTATGTGCAGAGCAATCTGCAAACTAGGTGAAGAACGAAGATGAGAGATGCCCAATCTTCGTCTTCTTTCCCTTCGCACTTACTTGCGGGCTTGGGCCGCTAATATTTATGTAGTTAGTTTTGATTACAAGACCAAAGCCCAAAGCCCAATATATGAAAATGCAAACTGATTAGATTTTGGCCCAAGTTTAATCGCGTGTTAGTGGCAGACTGGCAGTGCCTTGTTGTTTTGGAATATTCTACTCTCCCGGCAAGAGTGATCTTCTTATTACTTCTCCTTAGATATGAAAAATATCAGAAATTTTCTAGCAGAATGGTCGAGGAAGATGATTAGAAGTGATGGTGTTGTTACCAGGTGGCACAAAAGATTCATATTTGCAAACTTACTGTCAAAAAAGCGAAATTCAATACCTATTGGAATGGGATTCAAAGCATCTCAATAATTTTAGGTTGCTTCTTTGGGCTCTTGTTGACAACTCCAGTTGAACCATCTCTGCTGAACGTTGATGCGTCATTTGATGAAGCGTCTTTCCTGATATCGTCATTTCTTGCACTATCATGATCATCAACACCTTCCGTATCACATTCATCATCGCTTGAATCTTCCGAGTCTGACTCGCTGCTACTACTACCATCCTAATAAACATGCCACTGGTAGAAACTGTGACCATTCATTACAATTCGTGAAGCGTGACCCATAATTTAATTTGAGAATTCCCGTCCTCAAAAATCAAAATCAAATAGATGCAGAACTATCAAACAATCTGAGATGCAAGAATAGGTAGTCTTTGCAATACTGGGTGATGATCAGCCAATCAAATATGACGACGAAACATTAACATAATTACATATAAGATCATGGGTACCAGGAGTTCTTCGGTATATGGAAATAAAAAAGAGAAGGACCACTAGGGTACCAGGAGTTCTTCATCAACCTAACAGCCCATGTCCATATAACCTGACCTTTTTCTTGCTCTGCAACGTATATGGCTTTATTTCGAGTCCCCTACTAGTCTGGAAACCGGACAATGTAGTGACATATTTGCAGTTCAGTACAATGCCTAACACCTTATTGTATAAAGCTTCAACATTCAGCTAAAAACAAGTTCATTAAACCCCAAATTTCACTACTACCTTGGTTTCTTTTTATGAATGAAAAGAAGACATTAATCGAAAGAGCAATAGACCACAGAAAACTCCTCAGCACACCCCGCATGAAACAAACCAGGCCAATAGAGAAAGTATATCAGGTTCTTCCTTGCAACCAAAATGCAAACTTCCATTGTTCCACCCCCATCACTTGTGGACATTACTTGATAATAAAAAAAACTGAAGACTTCGAAAGTAACGTTACCTTGGCTAGCAGGAACTGCAGCAGTCGTAAGTTTCCCATCGGAAGGAGCTGCTTTAGATAGATGAACGCTCGAATCTTTCCCAAAGAAGAGAAGTGAAGATTCGCGAGCCGACCGGGCTATGGCTGAACCCTCCTTTTCCAGCCGCAAAAGCTCTTTGCTCGAACTTCCTCCATTTTTTGCGTTTTCCTTTTTTTCTTGAAGCCCCATTCTTGTTCTCTGGATCCTCAATTCTTTCTTCTCCGCGCTGCCTCACAGAGTAGAAACCGAAACAGCAGTCACCAACCTCTTCCACTTTCTTTTTTTTGGTAGAACCCCAAGCTCTTCCTTTCTTAACGCAGCTGCCGCACGAAACTGTCTGTATTCCGCCGAACGCGAGTTCTGGCAGGGAGTTTCGAAATTAACAGAGAGGCGGGCTGTCGAAGTGAAGCTGCACGGTGTCATAAATATCAGAATCAGGGGCGGAGCTACATTGGCCCTAAGGGGGCCCGGGCCCCCCGAGAATCTCGAACTTACGTGTAAACGATTTAGGATAATATGTATAAACAAGAAAGTATTTAATAAAAAGATAAAGCGTGCAGATTATAACATGAAATTTGAGTTAGCCTAGCGGAATTGGCAATTTAGAAGGACCAAATGGTCACGGGTTCAATTCTTGAGGTGAGCATATATTTTATTTTTTTGCCTTTTTGGTAAGCAGTAGCCCTCTCCTTTCTTTTTTGGAAGCTAGTTATTAGCTAATTCGACTATTGTCATTATATTTTTTTATGATCTGTAGTGAACTCAATGTGAAAAAGTTTTGAGTTTTAATTATAATAATATGTTTTTAAAATAATTTTTATTACTAGTTTTTCCTTTTTTGCTGTAACGTATTAAGAAAATTCCGGCCCCCCCGATGATTAAATCCTAGCTCCGCCCCTGATCAGAATGGCAACGGGTAATTTACTAATTTGTTGAGTTTTTCTTTTCATTCTTATTTTTTTTTACTAAATCATATCATGTTTAGTCACTAGAAAAAATTAATATTAATTTTAATTACTCGAATTAGTAATTATTGAAACATGTCACATTTAGTCACTCTCCCACCATTTTGTGAAACACCAACCCAATCAACCCATATATATATATACAGGAGTGCATATGAGGAGTTTGCCACGTCAGCCACTCCAAAGCAGCCCATGATTTCAGGAAGGGCATTTGCGTCAATGAGCACCTCTAAATTTTAAGCCAAGCCCGGATCTTCAAAGAAATGAATACTTGGGCCGGCAAATTCGACCCTATAAAATAGTAAAATTTAGAAGAAAAAAAATTGGAAAGAAAACTCTTCCGCTGAAATTCTTCCCCAATTTTTATCCGTGATTTCCCAATAGCAGAGAGCCATCTGCGATTCTCCAAGAATGAGCCTCAAACCTCTGTGCTGCCGTCGTCCATTCTTCTCCGACTCAATGTCGCCGGACAATCTTAATTTCTGGCGCCGTTGGAGGTTGAGGTTCAACGAATATTGCCTCCCCGTCCCTGTAATCATGAGCAAATTAACTGTGAACAGTCCAAGCTGGACGGGGGTTATTAGGTTGGGTTATTAGGTTGAAAGTAAATCAATAAAAGGAGGGAGATATTGAAGGACGGTATTTCTATTGGATGATTCCACCGTGCATCTGCGTTCCGGCTTTGATTGATAGATTCCCAAGGGTATTTGCGCGTGTTAACCATTGAGAGGGGGGAGTTCGGGTGAACTGTGAGGAAGTAAAAATTGGCAATGAAATGACCGAATGAGAGCAGATATGAACAGGAATTGATGCGTGCGTGAGCTTGACAAAATTTAGGAATCAACTTGCGAGAAGGAGGCATTGTAAGTAACTGAACTTAATCGAATTAGCAAGAAACGGATGCTCGAAGATAGTGATGGCCTTTGAGGGAATGCTAGGATTTAGATTGTCGGACGACGGTGTGCCGGAGGGGAGTAGTGACCGGCGACAATTCGGTGGCGCATCAAAGGTCATTGAGGAAATCGCGTTCAGAAATTGGAGAAGAATTGCTTAGGGGGTCGTTTGGATCCAGAAATGAGGGCAGGGATTTGGCCCAAATTCTGGCCCGTCCAGGAATTTAATCAATTCCCATGTTTGGATAGCTCTAAAAAAACCCAGGATTTGACCCACCAGGAATTGTAAATTCGGCCCAACCAGAAATTAGAAATATTTGTCCACCCTCAAGTATTTCAAAATCCGGCCCCAAAGTTTGTGTTTCTACCAAACGTGTCCTTGCCATTACCCCTGCTCTAGAATCCAGATCCCTAGTCTTCTTCAACTATTCTTCGCCGCATCCTTCCTTCCGGCCACACTCTTCGTCGTGGAACTCTCCAATAATCTAATTCAAACAACAAGTCTCCTTCGTCGTACTCCTCCATCTACAACCCCAAATCTCTCGACGACGGCGGCAACAAGCTCATCGTCGAGCCGCCTCCGAATCCAGATCCTCCTTCCAGGTCTTGACCCGAGCCTTGACCCTCCAGCTTCGACAAATGAGCGCATGAAGATGACGAGATCATGGCGATGCTGGGCTGGAATCGATCCTGGTCGGAGCTGTTGCTCCAGACTTTCTTCCGAGCTTCGAAAGCCGTCTGCGAGTTTCCCCTCCAGTCTGCCGTTAAGAGCTCGATCGAGATTTAGAAATTCCAAGTCTGGGTTTTGGGGTTTTTCAAGCTCCCCGCACCGTCTGCTTTCCCACCGCCGTCTCTGGTTGGTGAGTCTCGAAGCACATGGATTGGAGAAGAAGACAACTACGATTGTGGTTGTTCGATCTGGGTTTGTGCTAGGAGAAGAGGAAGAAGAACGATTGGGCCTCTTTAGTTTCGTTTGCAGCCAGTAATTATGGGAAGACGCTACGGCGATCGGAAACAGAGTCTCTGTTGGTGGAGTCACCTCGGTTCGGAAGACGCTACGGCGGGGGAAGATTCCGGTGAAGTCGACGTTAATTTGCAGAGAAGAATCAATGTTGGCTTCAAAGGATGTAATTGTAATTTAGGCAATTGCTTCACAATTAAATTCTCTAAGTACTAAATCTTCCATCCCCAAACAAACAATATATTTAACCCAAATTCTGAATTTAAAATACCAGGTTTTTAAATGAGTGATTGTTGACAAAATTCCTCATTAACTAAATTCTTAATCCAAACGACCTCCGAGAAAGGGAGGAGAGAGAGAATCACCGAAGAAGGTTAGTTGCGGGGTGCGGTAGTGGAATTAGTTTCCGGTTACCATTCTTTGTTCAGGTGTAAGATTAAGCAGCCCAAATTGGCGGGCCCAATTTTTTTTATTTATGTGTACCTACTAGTCTACCTTGGGGAATAAAAGAGGACCAAATTGGCCAGCTCAATTTGTCGTATACGTGCCCCTACTGATTTATTTTAGGGCCCAATTTGTCATCTATGTGTAGCTAAGGATATATTCTTAGGGATTAAAAGAGTTAGTTTGGAAGTTGTTATAGTTTGTGGGATATGATTATTATATTTGTATTATTTACAAATTTTTTTATATACAATATATGGATTGTTTTTTTAATGTGATAGAAACTATTGCTCAGAGATAGTTCTACCTCAGCTTTTATTGTAACATCTCGGCTTTTAGTTGATGTGACATACACAATCATAGATACCGAACATTGTACTTTACTATACATCAAATTCATAAATACATGTATTCACCACAATACATCTCTTTAACAATAACCACTTTTAAACAATCCATAAAATCTGGAAGTGCTCATTGACACTAATTCCCTTCTTGAAATTATTAGTTGTTTTGGAGCAAGTGGCAAACTCATGATTTAAAATAAGCCTTTAACAATCCAAGTAACTATCAACAAAGGAGTAGGGCATGTCATGACATAATTTTTATAAATAACAAATGTATAAACACAATATCCGAGATTATGGGCATACGTGCATATTGACGGTTACATTCATGGTCGTCTAGCTCAACACCAAATGGAGGGCGCTTTGGTGAAATTGAATTCAGAAAAAAAAATATCAAAGACTCCGTTTAGATAGTAATGATTCGTGATTGCCGGCTAATAGAACAACCAAACTCGACCAATGGGTCGGGCTAAATGCTAGTTATAGATATATAGAATTAAACAACCTCTAGTTAGAAAATTAACATGGTTGACAATTTTTCCACACTTTACGTGAATCTTTGTTACTCAAGACTCTCAAATTCCATGTTTGTCCATCGATTGGATTTATGTATTGGAGGAATTTGCCTCTCTATCCTTGATGAGTAATTTTATTTACTACTTTCAACGGCTTCTAGTGCACTCAAGGTTGTCAACCCGCGGGTTGACCCGGACCCGGTCGAGCTAGTGGGTCAAGGGTTAAAGGGTCAACCGTTTTAGCCCGGTTTGGCCCGGAAATATAGAAAGAGTCATTATATTGTACTTATCCTCATAAATTATATCAAATCTTATCTAACATATGAGTTATAACATATAATATTACACTAAAATAACATATCATACTTAGATCCAACATATAGTGAAAATTCACACACACTTATATAACATAAATATTCAAATGTTCAACTTAGTATTCCAAAGATTGAGTTATGCGAAAAGAAAAATTGGAAAATAGGCGCATTTCGCAAACTAAAGAAAAAAATGACACAATTTGACCTCCAACCCGGTACCTTATAGCGGTCGGCCCGGCGGATGCGTGCGGCCCGTTTTTCTCACCGGGTCAGGGTCAAATTGGGTCGACCCGTGGGTCAACCCGCGGGTTGACAACCTTGAGTGCACTCAAACTTTGCACCAATCGAACCAATATGCCACTCGATTATGCATGTGTAGCATAGAACAACTTACAGATAATAACAGATAGTCAGCAAGGGCGAAACAGACTAGTCGATTCGATTTCATAATTTGAACCAAGTTGAACATTATGACGATGCACGTCATCGTAAATTGTAATATAGGTAGCTTATATAGTCATATTATGGTCAGCAGCAACGTCTCTCTGTTTCCCAATGAGAAGAAACCTTCAGGAACAACAATGGGTAGATAGTAATTGATTACAAGCTACACTCATCTCTCGTCGTATAAACAATTCTGACATGTCGCGGACCATTCATCTGCTTCATGAAGTAAAAGAGAACTAAAAGAAGAAAAAAGGAGCAGCATACACCTAGAAGGCATCATCGACCAATGCGTTTGCTTCAGCAGTGGCTTGGCGGCTGTGAAGATAACGCAAGAATGCATACACATATACAGAGTGAAATGGCTTGACACAGAACTCCCGTTAATACTTAATAGTGTCCCTCAGACTGCCAAACCCTAAGACAAGGAGCGTATTTTGAAATCCTTTTTTCCACTGATTGGATTCGACTAACCTTATTTTCGCTTCCCTGTCCCGATGGA